TTGCACGGAGGACGGAGCGGGATATATTTGACGATTGGAAGTGGCAGTGATGATGTTGATGGTGATGTTCAGAGTGTTGTGGCTAGTCGCACTATGCTAGGGCGTCCTCGAACCTCGCCAAGTTGCGAAGGAGAAGCGGCCTGTCTGTCCATCCAAATCGGCCCGAGGCCATGAGATGAGTGAGGTCCATCTGTCCCAAGTCCCAAGAGTCCCTTCCAACACCATGCTCAGAGCTCCAAAGCTCACTCGCTCGAAACGCTATCACAACGACGGGATCGAAGAACGGCAGCGAAGCTCAGTAGGCGGCGATGAGCGGCGCTGCCCGTGGTTGCTGTGACTGCTGCACGAGGTAGTCCTCGAGTCCCGGCTGTGCCTTCGCGTCGTAGAACCCCGTCGTGGTGATCGAGGCGCGCTGCTTGTCGTCGAGCTCGAACGGCCGGCTCTCGGGCGAGCTGGGCATCGACTCGTCCTCGGAATCAGACGAGTCGTCGTCGTCGCAGCACTCGAGCAGCTCGGGCGGGCTGTGCCGCGAGCTGGGCACGCGCTGGAGAGCGTGCTCGGCGTCGAACTCCCCGTCGACGTCCGAGTCGTCGTCCTCGTCGTCATCGACCTCCATGCTGTCGACCTGCACGGGCGGGGTGCGCATGCGGCCGACCGGGATGCTGGTGAAGAGGTGCTCGGCCTCTTCGTCATCGTAGTCACTGTCGTCGTCGCCGCTCTCGCTCTCGAGGTCCTCCTCCTCGTCCGCCTCGGCGACCTGGTCGAGCCATTGGATGTGCTTGGGCTCCTCGGGCTTGCCGGCGCTGGCGCGCGACAGGCTCTGGTTGAACCAGGCCTCCTGCTCGCGCTCGGCGGAGGAGAGCTCGAGCATGAGCGAGTCGAGCAGGTTGGCGTGGCCGACGAGCCGGCGCAGGTTGTGGTCGGAGCGGTTGGCCTCGCGGCCGAGCTTCGACCGGGCCGTGCTGGCCGTGTAGTAGATGCTGGTGAGCGACATCTTCTGGCGTTTGGCCGGGGGGGATGTCGGTGAGGTCTGATAAGTCGCGTTGGCTGAGATTGGTCCGGTGGAGGACTGCAGTCGGAGGTGGGAAGGCATCTTGGTTATGGCGCCTGGGGGGTGACTCTGAATCGTGATCGTGTTGCCTGAGTCACACGAGCCAATGGAAGTGTGGGGTCGTTGTAGCCTTGGACTTCGGTTGTGGCCTGGGTCGAGGATGTCAGGAACAGTCGAAGGTGTTTCTGAGTTGTGATGGTTGTTCTGAGTTGTGATTGTTGTGCTGAGATTGGGTTGATGCCAGAGGAAGGTTGACGAACGGGGAGCAGCAGCTCATATTTGTGTACGCTCGCCAGTCGCTCGTAATCCGCTTCGTCCGCAAGCCCCGAGCGCATCTGTCGTAAGCCCATTCCTTGGACCCGCGACAGGGGTGCGCGCCCGGAACGGCGTGAGCGGTCAAGACGCTCGTCCGCTTAGCTCCGCGCCCGGGAACTGGCCAATCGCACGCCGCTCGGATCGTAATCAGATTCGGGACCGAGCAGGCAGCGGCTTTGTCTGCCCTACGGGCCCTCTGACAGCAAGGTTCCGAGCTGGCTCGCGAAGTCTCCGATTACTGTACACAGCCCTCGGCCGCATGGGCGACAGTCGTTCCGCCCTGGCTTGACTCACCTCGCGGCGGAACGACTATGCCCCAAACGGCAAGCAATGCTCTCGCGAAGCCTCGCGAGTCGCATCTGCAGCAGCGCTCCGCATGCCGTGCGTGGTGATTCGCAACATCCGCGCGGCTTGGTCAACGCGGCGTGCCCACTGCTCGTGCTTTGCGACGTCGTTGTCAAGACTACGCCGCAACCGCGCCCACTGAGCCGGATGTGTCACCACTGACGACTCCCTCTCGTGCATGCAGCAGGCGTAGTCATGGATCGCGATTCGACCGCAACGGTTCGTACGACGGCAGGCTAAGCATCATTGCACCGCAACACCGTGGGCCCATCATGGTGGTATCCGCGTCGTGGCTGCTGCGGGCAGCGAGGCAGCGGCGGGCCATCGTGCAACGTCGCGCGCCACGGCGCGAAGTCCGCCGGGTCCGCTGTGATGACTGTTGCCTTATTTGACACGCGAGGCTGGCGGTGTCTCGTTCCACCGTTCCCACGTTGCGCGCAATGCCCGCTTGGCAGGCACCGACATTATTGGCGTTCGTTTCCCCCGCTACAGCGCACGCGGGCGCAGTCTTGCGGCCGAGCGAAACTCCGGCACGAATGAGGGTCCGGCCCTGGCTCGCTGTTCCTTCGTCTCCGCACTGCAAGACTTTCCGTCTTCCGCAAGGCGTGACCATTGTTGCCTGTGACTCCTCGACATCTCGCTATTCCGCTGCCTGATCTCGCTGTTGCCCCGTTGCAATTGAGGCAGGTATCTATCATGGTGTGCACGCCAGGCGACTTCACCCCATGCGGAGACGAAAGTTGCCGGCCTCCTAGCGTCGACTCCTATCCACTGCTACCATGTCCTGAGAACACACTCGTTGGCGTTCCGCAACACTCCTGCTCAAGCTCACTACCATCTGCATCAACCCCGCTGACTCAACCCACGTAGAGAGTCGGACGGGACCCAGCACAGCACACCATCGGATCCTGCGGTAGGGCTGACGCACGAGCCGCTGCCAAGTCTGATTGGTCGGCCACCCCAGCTCAATCAGCTTACAAACTCCCCCAGCTCCCTACATGTAGGCCGAGACTCTGAGCTGACAATTGGTCGCGGCATGGAATCGTGATGTGTATATGAGCTGAGCAATCTCACCCGCGGTGGGTACAACGATCGCAAGGTGGTCTTCTTGCTGGGTGCGTGCCAATCAGCATGTTGCACACACGCAGGACATGGCCGACAAACTCATGGAGTATAGAGTGGACCTTCGATCGTCTGACGTGGGCGTCGTGAGCGTGTATGCTCAAGGACTCTCGGTCGTGGTAGCGCGGCTACGGTGGTCGACGAACATGTGCCACAATGTAGACCGAAGGTGGGTCAGTGTGTCCAAGGCTGAGAGGACAATCTTCATGGGCACTGCTTCCTGGACGAGCTCACGGATAGGAGCGCCTGCGGGAGAGTGGTGTGGCGAGCTCAACCTCGAGACCATTCAGAACCGAGCGGACGAGCGGATTGGGATATGAGGGCGTGACGGGGAATCAGCTTCGAGTAGCCACCACACGGACACGGCAACCAATGAACCTCGCAGGACAGCATTCTCCGCGCCGGTGTGACACACTCAGCGTGGGCCAGGGTCCTAGTATCGCCACGACACCATCGCGGTACGCAGGGGACCTTCCCACCACGGAGATCACTCGGAGTCAGCTGACTGAACCGACGGCGGGAGTTCGAAGGAGGACTCACCGTCCTCCGTACCCAACTGGTGGGAGACGACATAGGATGACCCTCACGTCAGCGAAAGGAGCCAGAGGCTTCGTGTGGGCCATCGGGCATGGGAGAACGTGGCATTCTGCTTGCCGAATCGTCTGCCGCCATCCTTTGGACCCGTCTCACGGCTGGCCTGTAAGACTGGGAAGTGGGACTGGCTGGTATTGTATCCTGGATGGTCTTCGTTGAAACAAGCCGGGAGCGAGGAACACTTCGAGGATTCCGGCCGAGTGAAGGACGGCTTGTCCAGTTGGATCATGTGGGACCTGGTTTCAATGCGCTGCGTTCGCTTTGATCCCGCACAAGAGCAGCGTTGAATCAACAGCGCCCGCAACACTGTACGCATTCGCCAAAGGCGCGCTCGGCTTATGCATCGCCATCTGGTCTGAAGACCACACCGATGAGTGCAGTTTGCCGCAGATGCACAGATACCACTCCATTGATCAACGCGAAGCACATCTGCAGCCCCACCTGCGAGCGGATGAGGCCGGATCGCCGTCCCGGATGTCGTCGGCCACACGTGGATTGCCCGCAGAGCACACTGCGATAGATGCGCGGCGACACAAGCCAAGAGGACACCAGCAGCGTATCAGCTGCATCACGGAGCGCCCGCCGTCCCGACGCTAGATCTCCGACCCACCGTCTCGGTCCGCAACATCATGGGCTTCCACGTGGCGGCTTGGGGCTGCTGCAGCGCGCTTACGAGCGCCTTTGTCACGCCGCCGTGTCGACCGAAGCCCACTCAACATGTGACGGACTGCCATCCGAACACGATCGCGTTCACGGACTGGCGGCATGCGATCGACGATCTGTGGTTGCATCTCTTGCGGACGGATGCCAGGTGTATGGTGCTTGCGCGGCGTTCGCGCCGTGGGAGGTATTGACCCAGCGGTGGGCGCAGGCTAGGGCGAATATGTCCAGCTGCTAGGAGGCTTCTGCGTTAGCTTGGAGGACAGGTTCTCCTGGATCCGATCTTGGTCATGCTGCTGCGCCTTGGCCGAGCAGAAGGAACTCAGTCCAAGCTACGCCTGTGAGAGCCCGGACGGCCCCTCCTCGAGGACTCGAGAGGACTCCCCGTGGACCAGTAGCGGATCATGCCCATTATGGATCAGTCCCTACTACCTCTCCCCCGTGCTTGTGGTACAAGTCGCCTCATCGAAAGGAGTCCCTCCCACATCATACGCGGACTGCGCATGGCTGAGGTCGCTCTTCTGCGGTATCTCCCTAGAATCGTGCTGCAGTCCATTCGGCGTTGGACGATGGCACTCTACCAAGGCGTACCGGGGGGAGAAGATCTCGCTTCCAAAATGGTATCGTCGACTTCTTCGCTCTGCTTGTAGTTGCTGGAGACCCCGATTTCAATACGGAGGAGGCCACCGCTAGTTTGTTCGCCCAGGTTGGAAAGGCTTCAGTTTTCGGGCGGATACGCTCGTTTTCCGCTGTAGGGTAAGTAGCGGCTCATACTGCACGAATCTGAGTAATTCTGAAGTGTCGTGCTGTTACATCACGCCGTATCTGACCTCCATGGAGTAGTAATGTGGCTGGCAAAGCAGAAGAAAGTTTTTAAGCTGATATATAATGTACTATCCTGCATATTCATATCGCGCTCATAGCTCAGTTGGTAGAGCGCGGCACTAGTATCACGTGATGCCGAGGTCTACGGTGCGTCCCGCCAGAGCCGCCAGTCCCTCGGGCGCCGGCTGACGATCTTCGCAGGTTCAACTCCGTATGGGCGCACTAGGGAAATCATTTTTGGCGATATCTTTGGCTGCTGATCATCGTGGGATCGACTGTTATGCGCACTGGCCGTAAGACGTTTCTTTTGCGCCGGAATGCCCGACTACGTATTGTAGCAGGGCGAGGCCCGCCGGTACATGTAATGGGATCGGCGGAAATTCCGTCGGTACCGATCAGGGTGTCTGGGCCCTTTACGATCGTTGAATTCTCCATGGATTCGCCTCTGATTAGATTCCAACTCCGTCTGTCGATACATACGATTGACTTTCGACAGACGACAACTTTACAGTTCTATGCCAGCCGTTCTGGCTCAATACTGTTACATCTCGCTTGGGGCGTGGTCGGTGGTTTTCGGTCGGAGTCCAAGATTTCCCGATCCGGCCTGCCAAGACCATTCTCCGCATCGTGCACCTCGACTTTGCACTTCGACTGCGCGCCCACCTCGTCTGTTCATCGATAGCATCGGGTTCCTTGCCCCTGCTGACTACGAAATCCGGGCGACCTGGCTACTCAGACCACAATCGCTACCGCGTGTGCTGGCCTAGCTCGAACACATAGCGAGCGGCCTAGTATCACCTGCTCGACTCGATCTGTCAAGATACAAGCCTAGACTCCGGTCCATTAAGTAGACGACCATGTCGTTACACTAGCACTTTACACGTGGCTCGTCGACGCACTCGCAGAAGCTGAGGATGGAGTCGACCTGAAGTCGACGATGGCTAACGTCGAAGGCTATTGTCTAGAGCATTGCGAGCACAGCTGCTCTACATAGTTGGTGCTTTCGTAGGATGCTATTCTGGATCAGACGACCCCAATGGCCTTCCGAGAGGCTTCTAAGTGATCGAGGAGACCTAGGACACCGAGTCGGATGCATAGGGAGCCTTGGTCTCCCTTAGTATCTGCTTCCTACCGCTATGCATAGATACTTCCGGCATAGCTTCCCATGGCCGTGCTCCTTCCATAGCCGGCGACCCCACACTGGCTCACCACATGGCCTACTCTACAACCACGAGATAGCTCACTCGGCGCCGTGATCCTGCATCATTCAACTCGCTTCACATCTTTAGAGGCCGGCGAGTGAGCCTAGCATGCAACGCATCGCGGCTCTCACTCTAGACTAATATGAGCTCACTTGGCGTGCCGTCCTCTATCACTTCCCCATCACTCACCACTCAGTCGAGTGAGCTCAGCGTGTGACGCCGTGCCTCTCTGGGCCCTCTTCATAAGCCTTTGCACACTTCACACACTCTTCTTCACCTTTCATTCTCAATCAACAACACTACCTTCCTCAAACATCATCAACACTTCTTCACTCTTCCACACTCACTCAACAACACAAGCCTTCACCATGCCTCCTAAGCCCAAGCCGGGCAGCAGCTTCATCGGCACAGGCCGTACCATCTCGGGCCGTGTCGTGAAACCCAAAATCAGGGTCACGAGGCGCACCGCTGAAGACGTGAGTCCAAGTCGATGCCATCGATATCCGCTTCAGGAGCTTTGTGCTGACACTGAGCGTGTGCAGGCCGACGCGGATTACGTCCCGCCTTCCAACGACGAAGCCGAGGAGAAGACATCCGCCGGGACGAGCTCAGATCAGAACCTGACGTACAAGCCTACGGTCAACAAGGAAGTGAGTTGAATCGTCGCCATCGAAGGCTACTGCATCCGCAAACGACTGACGGCTTCTAGGCGCCGCAGGCGTCTCACCCCGCCCCGGACGCCGCGAAGGCTCCCGAGCCGCAGAGGTACAACGCGATCGTGGACCACACGAAGGGCCTACGCGACGGCAGAAAGCGCTTCTTCTACTGCATGGGCCGTCGGATCGGGAGAGCACCGACGCCCGAGCCAGCTTCGAAGATCGAGGGGCAGGACGCCGGAATTGCGGTCGGCGATCGCGACGAGCAGATGGGGAGCGAAGAGGTCGCGGCGGACGATCTGGATGACTTATCGGGTGCGTGGGATCCCGTAGGCAATCGATGGCAGCGATTCTGGCTGACCGGGCTCGCAGGTGCCATCCACATCTACTTCGAAGGCGACGCGAGGGCCGTCTAGGACCGAGACTTGGACGAACGGTCCGGAGTAGAGGTTACGTTTGCGAGCGTGAACTATGATGCCTAAGGGGCGTGGGATCAATGGGCAATGGTGCTGAGGCGTAGCACAGGCGGCAGACGGCCAGGGCTTGAAATGCCGGACGGGAGTAGTCAGACGAGTCCCACCTTGGTCATCCCGGTCCATCTACTCTTCCTCATACTGCTAGGCCATCTTCTACCCATTGTTTCGGTGCACGCGGTCTCATACCTCCGAGAGTATGGGCTCAGCCGTGATCGAGAAGCGGAACCTCACCGTGTCGTGCACCTGGTGACTGTTCGCACCATTCTGTTCAACTCAATTAATTCGCCCGATCTGCTCTAAGTAGGAACAAGCCGGAGATCGACAACAGAGCCAATATACAGGTGGAAGGCCTGATGCATACTTTCCAAACGCCGGGTGAATAGTCAACTGGAATGGTAGGGCTCGATCTGCGCGCCATATGCTCGGCCTGGAGATCTACGGTCCCACCGAGATCTCGACCAGGCGGCCGCAACCTCAGGATCATCACCGCAAGGCAGGGCCCGGAGATGGCGCGTGCCAGCCGTTCGACTGACACCAGGCTCTAGTTTCCAGGCTCTGGGGCGGCTTTCCGCGCTCGTCGTCGTCACCCAAAATGCTGTCGTCGTCCACTCGCGGCCCGTTAGACCCCTGCTTACCCGAGTGGTGATCGCTCCCTGCATTCGCTGCCTTCCCACTGCCTCACCATCATACTTCCTCCATTGCTGCCTTCATCGTGAGTACATCTGGAACAGTGAACAATATTCCCTAGGCCGCCAGCCCGCAACACAATTACCTACCTTACTCCTCCATCTCGCTCAAACGGGCCCGGCCCAGCGCATCCGGACCCTGGAACCTTCCATCCGATCGACGTCATACACTTGAAACAGACCTACCACGCGGCGAACACGAGAGCAGAACCAAATACAGATATCATTGGGGTGACCTTGGCGAACCTGGGGACACAACTCGCCATCCGTCCACGGGGTGAATAGATGGAACGTGGGAGGCGGTGCCGACCCAGAGCGGATCTATGAACTCGCCGCGGCCGGCTGCATCATCCTTCAGTCGCAGCTCGCCCGGGTCAGTCCTTGCTGGGCTGCCTGGGGCTGCGCCAGCAGACTTCATGAGCCACGATGGGGCCATGACGGAGAACCACGCGACCGCGGGCCTCGACGCGCACGACGACGCCCGCGCGCTCGTGCGCCTCGTGCAGTGCCCGCAGTGCTCCCGGCCATACCGGACGCCGGTGACGCTGCCCTGCGGTCGGTCGATGTGCAGAGATTGCCTCCCGCAGACGCATCTGAGGGAGAACATCACCTACCCGGACATCCCGGGACGGAAACAGGCGTTTCCATGTCCGTACCCGGGGTGCGGCCTGGAGCATCCAGCTTCCGACTGCAGCATCGATGTCACCTTGACGAAAGTGATGGAGTCGATCGCGGAGGTCGTCACGAAGCACGCGTCCGTGGCCAGCAGTGCGCCGACGATGATGGAGGAGGTGATGAGGTGGGACGAGGGGGTCAGTCTTGCGCCGGCCGCGGAGAAGGCGACCCATCATGAGATCCCGGGAGGCAGACTGGTTGCCACGTACACCTTGGCGGCGCAGGGGATGCTGAGCTACTATGTGGATCTGGAGTACTCGAGTACATCGACGTTGGCCGAGAGTGACAAGGCACAGGATGTCAGCGTGCTGGCGGAGCTTCTCGAGTCGACGTATCGAGAAGTCGACTGCCAAGTGTGTTACAACCTCATGCTGGACCCGGTCACGACTCCATGCGGCCATACCCTTTGCCGGAAATGTCTAGCGAGAACACTGGACCATTCGCTCCACTGCCCGGTCTGCCGCCGTGGCCTTGCATTACCACCATCGTTGCAAGCGCAGCCGAGCAATGCGACGATCGTCGAACTGCTCAATGGCCTCTGCCCTGACTCAGTAGCTACGCGCGCAGATACGGTGGCACAAGAAGAACGGCCCGGCGAAGGCGAACTGGACGTGCCCCTCTTCATCTGCACCCTCGGATTCCCGCACCAGCCGACCTTCCTGCGCATCTTCGAGCCACGCTACCGCCTGATGCTTCGGCGTTGCGCCGAGGGCAATAGGGAATTCGGCATGCTCATGTACAACCGGTACTACGAGCCGCAAGGCGAGCTCGGACCCGTGCATTTCTACCACTACGGCACGATGCTGCGGATCATGCATTGCCAGGTCCTACCGGACGGGACCAGTCTCGTCGAGACGCGCGGCATGTATCGCTTCCGAGTCCGCGCGCACGGCGTGCTAGACGGCTATGCGGTCGCGAACGTCGAACGCCTCGAAGACGTCCTGATAGCCGAGGAAGAGCGGATCGAGTCGACGGAGATCTCGCGGTCACCGGTCGGCGAAGAGGATATCGCGGGTCAGATCGATCGCATGCCCACGACCTCGCTCCTCGCGCTGGGCCAGGAGTTCATCGCCCGGATGCGTGCCCGGAGCGCTCCGTGGCTGCAGCAGCGTGTCCTGGACGTCCACGGCCAGCCCCCCGAAGACGCCGCGCTCTTCGCCTACTGGTTCGCCAGCGTGCTGCCCATCTCCGACGAGGAGAAGTACAAGCTCATGGGCACGACGACCGTGCGCGAGCGACTGAAGATCACCGCGTCGTGGATCCGGCGGATCGAGTCGCAACGATGGTAAGTCCTTCTCATCACCGCCTTGCATCTTTCGTCGACCATGCCGCCGCCACCACCCTCCGTCACCATCTTGCATGTGTCTCGCGCGCTGTGGCTGACGGTGTGGTGTGCTGCAAAGGGTCGACTGACTGACGACCGTGTCAGGTACCAGAGCAACTCCTGCCGCATCTTATGACTCGCCCTGCACTACGTGGCGCCCGTGCTCTTCCTGCTGTTCGCCATCGTAGTGCACTGGGCGCGCC